TGGCTGATATTTCATTTCTGTGGATTTTGGGCCTTCATGTAAGTCTGCAGGTGCAGGGCTCTGAACATCAAACACTCTATATTAAACTTCTTAAGGGTGATCATCAGCTGGTTCTTGAAGAATTGAGCATGATATGGCAAGCATGCCCATACGGAAAAGATATATATAAATCATATAAAGTTTGTATCTGTCTTGTGTGAAACTTGTATGAAAAGCATACAAGAGTGAAAACAGATATAAGAGCCCTTGAAAAATTATATAAATGAAACTTGTATGTTTTGGATACTTACTAAAACAATATATGAAAGTAATGAGAAAATGGCCACTTTCATGAGTAAATCATATAAGGCTTATATGATTCACTATATGAAGTAGGCCACATCTGATGCAAGTCTTTTATAAGTTTTTACTATTTCTTTTCCATATGGGTGGATTTCAGTAAGAAAGCACCTTAACTGAATCTTTTTGGTGTATGAGGGGATTTTATGGTTGGACTTGAGAAGCAGTTTGAGGTAACCAGGAGTTTATCCTGTCCGTGTAACACATGCAGAACTAGTTTAGACGTGTCGGTCAGGAAGCTTTTCTGCAAAGATGTTTCTGTGTCATTTGTGTTTTTGCTGAGTTCATGTGTGGAGTCGTCACCGCTGCTGGCTCCCCATCCCCACCAGTGTACTGTCAGGTTGCTGCTACACTCCCTCGCTGCCTATTTGCTGTGACAGCATGTTTCAGCAGCTTGTGTTGGGCGCTCCTGAGTGTGCATGTGCAGAAAAGCCTGTGTGTATGTGTTTGAGGGGAGGTGAGCCCTGTGCTGTTTTCCTGTGCCATACCACTTGAACCAGTGTGAAGACCACAGCTGTAGGTAGGTAATGAGGGATCTGGATCAGGGTCACACACACTGAGTTAGATCACTCTTGTGCTCTAAGCTGTGCTGGTCACACCCTGTGGACACATGTAATAATGTACATTAACATTGTACTAATTGTGGCTTCCTGTTTGGCTGTTTGTCATTTAACCCTCCTTAACGTAGTGCTGGTGTTGATAGGAGGAAACAAGGACTGAAGGACTGAGCTGCTTTCTCCTGAAGGGAGGAGGACAGAATAAGAATGAGGAAGCAGGGAAACATTGTTGCTCATTAACGTTTAGACTGTGTCTGTTTTTCAAGGCAGACTCAGCGCTGACAGCACTAGTAGCTACTAAACTGAATGTACTGAAGCAGTTTTCAAGGCTTTGTTCACTTCAAACAAAATGCTTTAAAATAATTCCCAGTTTTCCGTTGTGGGACTGAGCCATGGACTTTGTTCTTGTTTGTCTGATTTATAATTATGTGTAGTTCTGTTCTTCATGTCTTTAACTTTGGTTCAGCCTACATTGGTCTTATGGTTTAGATATTCTCAAAAGGTATCACAGATTATTTCATACTTTTTAAGTATGGCGTTATTTTTGTCCCACTATTCTGAGCGCACGTAAAACAATTTGCAGGTGCAAGTGTTGCATTTTGAGGAGAAATTTATTTTGAGTGAAGAAAAGC